CTGTAATTTCTATTGCTGAAAAATTTTATTTCTGCGAGTTCCACATCTGCTAACACCTCCTTAACGTGTAATTTTAAGTAATTAAGACAGGTTTTGAATCAAATTTAAAATATGTTAAGTCTCGTAAATGGCGTTGGCAGGTAAACCCGGACTATATGCTTCTAGTTTGGCCTAGTCAAAATTCCGAAACATTTAGGTACAGTGTCTCAACTGTAAAGAATAGGCTCCAGTAAAAATACAGAGAAACTTGATTAAAATTTCAATTTCGATTTCTGCTTTTAAATCTGATCAACTTACTTAGTCCATTTAATGTTATATAATTAAATTCAAAAGTTCCTATGAAATATATTAAATTCAAAAGTTCCTATGTTTCTTGATTTTTAAACCTTCACTTGTTTCTTCGTATAAAAACGTTATTTTTATTTATTTAATCCAATAAATAAACCCTTCAGTGCAAAAAACAACGTTTTCTTTTCTTCAATATTTTATAATATACTCTATTTTTTACTAACCAGATTTGATGCAACTGAGTACCAGCATACCTCTGAAAAATTAATATAAGCTCCAAAATATGTTTTATTTTTAAATTGAATAGCATTTCCGATCTAAAGAGCTAATTTTTCTTTCAAATAAAGAGTCATGCAATTTTATTCAAATAACTGTTTAGAAAAAATAGAAAAGTTTAAGACCTGGTTTTGTCTAACTTTTCTCTACACGAAACTCAAATGATAATTTGAATTTTTATAAAAAATTTAAAATAAAGTTTTTTTTTAATTATTAGTATTATATGTCTCAATTTTTGCATCATTGTTAAATATATTTGCTTGTAAATACAAGCAAATATAAATTTAATTGTATTTTTAAATTTCTTTTCATTAAATCTATCTAGTAGCATCACAAAAAGTATACCACTTTCTACTGCAAAATATATTTTGAAAAAATCAGTGATTATTCTTTGATAATTAATTTCAAACAAATTATTTAATACCGTCGTATCTTAACCTTGAACTATATGATCAATAACAGCACTAACATTGCCTATGAAGTATGTTAAACTAAGTTTATTAAATATATTTGCACCACGTTTTAAGATTTCGAACATGTCTTGGAATTACATTATTTATTTAAAACCAGAATCTTATAATCCAAAATTAGAAAATAAAACGATGAGTTACTGGACATATATTTGAACGCTAGAAAGAGAAAAATATATTAGAAGGTCGACTGTTCAACGACGGATAGAAAATAATTTATAAAATATTGAACTGTGATGGCTCAGGGATTAGAGATCTCGCTTCCCATTTGGGGTGAACCGGGTTTGAATACCAGCGATGGCTGATTAATTAATGCAAATTTTGCACATATCCTCAGTGGTAGACGAATCATGGGTTTGAGTCCCCTTGCCGTGAGACTAACCAGGAGGGGGGGATCGTGGTTTTCCTCACCCTTCAAAGCAAGTTTGGGTTAGTTCCATCAAAAAGTCCTCCACAAAAGCAAAATTTCTCCCAATATTAGATCAAAGAGTGTAATATTAGATCTTTCTGGATTGGGTTCAAAATTGCAAGGTTACGGAGTTGAAAATTAGTAGTTGTAAACTCAAAACTTGGGTCGTCTGTTCAACAACGGTTATAAAATAAAATAAAATATAATACCTGAAAAATAATTCAGAATTGTTTAGAAATTAAAAGATGAACGCAAGATACTTGTTATAACGTGCTATATGCAAAATTAATTACTTCAAACTGGAAAATAAATCCCATTTAAATTAGAAAAAAATAGTTTTGCATATTTTTTTTTAATTTGTCTATTTTTTTAACATAGGTATTAAAAGAAATAATCTGTTTTGAAAGTAGAATTTTATTTTCCAGTTTTCTCTACATAAAAATTACATTATTTCATTCAAAAAGGTTAGTTTCTTTCGTAATATTTGTTAAATATACATCTTAAAACGGTAGGCATCAGTTCTATTTATATAATTAACAGAGTTGCCAATACATTCCTTTTAAATGCACCAGAGGGAGCTACTAGCAGGCAAGAGCTTCTATTTCAAACTGAATAAGTTTCAAGTATTAGAAACAATTCGAAGAAATGGTTTTCAAGCCTGAAATATTTCACTAGCGTTAAGAGTAGCTTTTTTTCCGGCTTAGCGATAAAAATTTCAGTCACTATTTTTTTTTTTTTTTTTTTTTGCTCAGCTCGAGTAGCAACCACAAACTTTGACCTTTATTTGACATATATATATTAAATTATCTCGAGCCGGATTTCAAGTCTCCGGGCAATAAGGCTTCAAAAGTTTTACCCAACTCAAACTTCTGAATTTTCTTTGAACGACATTTTTTAATAGATGTTAAGCAAAGATGCATCAAAATTTGAAATAAATTAAGAAATTAACGAGAAGAAATTAGTTTAAAACTCGTTAAATTAAAAAATATCAATTAATATATTTTCAAAATTTATGTAATACTTAATACTTAACTAACGATTCCTTGAGAATTTGATAAAAAATAATAAAAATTAATGAGAAGGAAAAAATATATTATTAAATTAAATATATTAATAAATATATTAATAAATTAATTAAATTAAACGAACAAACTATCAGTAATTATAACTTTCAAGTTTAAGTGAAACTAACTGACAGTAGTTAATGATTTCTTTTCAAATTTGATAAAAATATTTAATATGAACTTCATGGAAAATTAAATTAAGNACTTCTGAATTTTCTTTGAACGACATTCTTTAATAGATGTTAAGCAAAGATGCATCAAAATTTGATATAAATTAAGAAATTAACGAGAAGAAATTAGTTTAAAACTCGTTAAATTAAAAAATATCAATTAATATATTTTCAAAATTTATGTAATACTTAATACTTAACTAACGATTCCTTGAGAATTTGATAAAAAATAATAAAAATTAATGAGAAGGAAAAAATATAAAACTCTTTAAATTAAACGAACAAACTATCAGTAATTATAACTTTCAAGTTTAAGCGAAACTAACTGACAGTAGTTAATGATTTCTTTTCAAATTTGATAAAAATATTTTATATGAATTTCATGGAAAATTAAATTAAGGATATAAAATTGTGAGTCATTATTGTGTCAACTAAGTTTGTCTTAATACTTGTCTTCTGAATTACATAAAAGATATGATTCATTCATGTTAACAAATTATTAAAATTAAATAATTTAATACTGTACCAAGAGTGAGAAGTATAACTATTTTATAAAGCATTTGAGAATATTTACATGAAATATATTTCTATATGTACTATAGGATCTACATTTAACCTTGTTTGAGACCTTAACTGCTTAATAAAGCAAGCCAGGGGGGTGAAAAGTCGGGAAACTTACTCTATTCCATTTTTTAAAGACTGTTTTTTCTAAGTACATTTATTTTAATAAATTTCAAAACTCGTCCTATTGGAACACTTATAATAATACAATGCATCGCATTGTTTCTAGAATTGAATATTATTCATTTGCAGCTTTCAAACGGGGAACAAAACAGTAACATTTTTAAAAAACATTTTCAAAAAATATTGCATTTTTCCTTAGTTCGTAATATAAAAGTTACAGCTTAATATATCGAGTGTGGCGCGTAATGGAGGACTCGTTGAGACATGTATGAGTAAGCAAAATGTACGCTGAGTTGATTAATGGATTTGCTCACTGCTATAAAATCAATTTAGTAAAATACTATCATTTAAACTGTTCTATCGAAAAAAGTTGTTTAAATTATGAAAATAACACAATTAATGGTACTGTCAATATAAAAAGTTGAAATTGCAGTTGTGAAGGGTTAGAAACAGCTTTGGAAAAATTTGAAGAACAGCTCCAGCAGCTGAAGAATATGCTCAAAATGAAGATGACTCTAAAAGCAGGCAGTTATTCTAAAACAGTGGTTCTCAACCTGGGGGCGATATGGCTCCTCAGTGGGGTGATTATCCTCAGTTGGGTTATCAGGGGGCTATGAGTATTCAAATTTTTAAAAAAAATTGCAATTAATAATAAAAAAGAGCCAGAGAATCGCTCCTCATCTGGGTCCCATCAACACATTTAGTAGAAACAAAATTTTGTTCGGTCATCCACAAAACAAAGAAGTAGGTTGGTCATTTGCTACACAAGAGACATATGCTTAAATTTGACGAACAAAAAGCCTGATATTCAAGCTTTAACTGAAATCCACCCAACACAAGGCAATCATTGAAGAGGTAAAAATGAATAATTGAGTTTTCAAATTTTCAGTGTTTTTCTCACATTTTAGTAGCTAACGTTTTCAATTTTTCCAGATTACATTGAAAAAATAAATTTAAAAAAATGTACTATTGTTTAAATTATTTCGCTTCAATTATCACTTCTTTTTGAAGAAAAAAAAGTGAAAGGAATGCACAATTTTTTTTGTCTTCTTCTAACAATCTTCTAACGCTACAGGATAAAATTGCTTCATTATTAACATTTTAATTTAAATTAAAATCAGGTATAATTGAATATATATTCAAATTTATTGAGATGCTCACTCGCAACAATGCATTGTTTTTTTTTCACTCGAAAAGAAAAAGGAGGCGATAATAATGTCAGTCAACTTCTAGAAGGGGCGGTGAGCAACAAACGGTTGGGAACCACTAAAACATATGAGGCTTCACTTGGGGGTAGATCGTCAAGTTCGAAAGGCTTCCCGTAGCTCTATGTGTATTTTCCTTACATGAATTTTATTTCAAAAATTTTGCATTATTCTTAAAAAATAATTTTTTTATATAATTTTTATGCGTATTTTCTTTTAGAAAACTGTAAAAAAAAATATATATATGAAAAATTTTTTTATAGAAATCTGCTCAATTTCATGCTAGATCGTTTTCTTTTGTTTGTATTATCGTCCAAATTGTCACTCATATATATATATATAAATAGATTTTTATTTGCCTAGGCAGATAATTGGTTCAAAAACACAATAAAATATATAATAAATTTACGTTTATTTTTTTTTCGCTATTTCAGCATTGCCAACTTCATGCCATTACGAAGGAACACGATACGGTTGCAACTTCGGATTGGGTTGCCTTTTTTCAGGGTCGCGGCCAGCAGATTTATGCAATGGCGGTCTCTTATGGAGCTGTTGTGTCCCCAGAAATATTGTACCATCCCTTATCAATCTTGTCAACGAGCCAGGTAAGTTGAATTAATCACATATTCATTAGGCAAAATGCACTGACTTTGTTTAAGTAGGAAAAACTTCTTGTTAGTGTTACCACTTTTTTTAAACGGAGCTTTGATAATCAAGATAGTCAGAACTCACACAACGCAAAAAGTCCCATTCTTCCCAAAACCTAGCGTAATTGCATCAAACTTCCAGAAATGTTTTTATTATATATTTATGGAAAGATAAAGTGTTGGAAGGAAATAAAATATTTTGGGTGAATATAAAATATTTTAGAATGCTTCATCTTCTTTCAAAATATAAGCGTTTAAATTTGGTAACTGATGGGGTGAAAATAATCTGAAATAAAATTTTTATAATAAATATTACAAGCTATTTCCTGTGTTTCATGTAATGTTCAACACACTTTCAAAGATCACTTCACCACTGAGAAAAACATTTGGCCAAATTTTCTTTAACCGTAATAAGGTATCAAGTGGAAACATCGTTTAGTTTAACAATAATTATGTAACGAATCACCGTAGTAAAAAAAAAAGAATATTCTAATTTCATGAAACTTTCTTCGTTTTTGATGAAATCGTTTCCTAATGTAAAGCCCGATGGAACGTTTCGTCAAAGTGACGAATCATCACTTTGACGAACTATAGTCATTTCTTTAAATAAAGAAATTTTGTCATTCTATTTTTTACTAAAAAAAAAACTCAAAAAATCTCGCCAATAATCACTTTATTGTGAGCAACATGCAGCTAAATCAATGTCACCTTAATAACATAATAAAGGCAAATCGAACTGTGAGAAAAGTTTCATCTATGTCCGAAGCGGGATTCGTGACGAAATGATTCTCATAATTGGCGAAATATAGCTCAAGGATTACTGAATCGTCAAAAGTGAGGGTTTTATTTCTGAGAGTGTACAATAATATGGTTCACCATCTCGCTTGAGTAATAAATTCCGGTAAAAAGTACTGGTACTGTAAAAAATTTCTTGTTGAAAGTCCTGAGTGCAGCATCTGTAAAATCCATTTTACACTGAAATTTTATGCCCCAATTTATACAGTAATATCTATTTAATTACAATGATTTTGTGATTTTACGGTAAATATTATTGTAAAAATTACTGTATATCAGATTATTTTTGCCAGTAAAAATCGTTAAAAATAGATTTTTCGGTAAAAAAGCACAGGCCCTTCGGATGCCAGTACTTTTAACCAAAACGTTATCCATAATTTTTTACAGTGTCACAAAATTTTATACGGAATTTTTTACATACCAGGCATTAATTGTAATACAATTACTTTTTTTTCTTCAGTTTTCTAATGTATGCATAAAGTTGTTAACTTTTTTGGAAGTAGAATTTTTTTACTCAAGCATTGAAACGTACTATATTTCATAATTTAGTGTATCCAGCATATTTTTTCTGAAATTTGCTCATTATCAAAATGGCCTTTTTCAAGTTCCATCTCCTCTCGCTCACTCCTCGGCGCATTTTTTGGTCATTTCGCTTAAAATTTCGGATCCAGTGTAATTTCGACTGCACTGAATCACCTTCCAGAGAAAATTTTATTTATATTAATGGAAAATGAATGGAAACAATTTCATTGCGAAGGGTCACCAGTTTATTCCAATTTATTGAGTGGGAATCGCTCTGTCCCCCCACTGCAACTGTAATGATTTACTATGAAGAATCGTCTGAAACCGTTTTCATCTGTAAAAATCTAACTTATTGAACTGATGGTTTATTTATGATTACAGTGAAAATGGTGAAAAACCGTTTTGTTAACAAAACAGCTTTAAACCACCCGTAAAGGACAACTTTAGCATTTTAATTTAACACAGCTTTCTCCGTATGTTTATTAAAAAAAAGCCGGAGAAAATAAAGGGTATTTCTTATTTTTTCTGCAGATGTATTTGAATAGGAAAAAAATCAGCCTGATTGGAGATTTACACCCCAGTTATCTTTAACCCAGCTACTTACATCTCAGTTATCTTTGTTATGAGTTGAAGAAAGAAGTAGAATATAGAGCATGATATTAAAATATCTCTTTAATGCTAAACCGTTAGCTGAGTTTTGTAAAACAGAACAAAATTTACGCATAATTATTTCACATAATTTTGTGAGGTGTTAGGACATAACAGAATTTTTTATAGTTCTAGTAGATTATTTTTAACACGAAAAAATCTATTATGTTGCTTGATAGCATCACACTGTTTTCGTCATATGGATTGTAAACATTTTAAACGTTTTCAGATATTTCTGATACATTTGATACATGAAAGTAATAATATTAGTGTGTGTATATATATTGATAAAATGAAAATATTTAATATTACTGTGTATATTTCTGAATTATCTTCAAGCGTTTTTATAATGTGCAAATATTAAAAATTTTGTATTATTTGAACTGTAAGAGAAGCCACTAAATCAATCTATTACAAACAAGTAATAAAACTAAAATCAATTTTAAGAGGAGGAAACGGAACAATAAATTTGTGCATTGCTTTTTACACTCATGTTTAAAGTTTTTTTCCTATTCCTCAAAAAGTAATAAGTTAAATAAAAAAGAGAACTATAAAACCTAAATTTAGAATACATTTAACGAGACACACAAAATAACAATTGTTTCAATTAACATATGAAACCTGATGAGGAAAAAAAAGCAAGAACAACTTTAAATTCATATTAAATAAATGACCTTAAACCAGTTTATGATTATAAAATGAAATATTGCTCTCTTCACGCTGTAAATTTGATTCAAATGAAAATAGCTTCCTGGCAGTAATTAACCTTAAAAGATTTTTATTAAGTATCAACAATAAGGATTATTATTTGATAGTTAATGCATTCTTATTGTCTTCGATAAAAGATTACAGCTATTTATTTTTCTTCTTAATATCATTTATTTATAATTCTTTATTCTTTAAGGCTTACATGCCTAATAGAAATACGCGTCCAAAAAAATACTTTTCGGCAACTATTACGTAATCAGTTGAGTTAATATAAGAAATGAATTAAAATGAAAAATTTAATTTATTTATCAATGAATAAAAAGAATTCGAGGAAGCGTTAAATATCCATATTAACAGTATATGTTTCCTTCGAATTTTATAATGCAATTTTTCGTTTATTTATTCGTGTTTTTAATTAAACATCAAATTTTTTTTATTTCTATATTAAGTTTTCTAAAAAGCATTTTAGACGAATTGAATTCTTTAAAAGCTGAAACAAGTGACACAGCGATTTATGTTTATTATTTTATTTTAGTTTGAAGATCATGTTTATGTGTTTCATATTTTTGCTATTACATAAAACGTAATTGTAAAAGAAGACGTAACACTTAACGTTTTTATGTATTAAAAATATTAAAATTTTTTTAATATTTTTAAAAATATTTTAACATTTTGTCAAGTATAAGAATGAGTTAGGGATAGATAAACCCTCACAAATCCAATATGAATTAAAGATAAACGACATTTAAGTATACTTTTCAAATTATTTTCAACTCCTTCTTATTTACTTAACATTTCTTCTTTCAATTCTTTAAAAAATTCTAAAAGTTAGAAAACAGTTATTTATATTTATAATTTTTTAATGAATTAATTGAAGAACAGAGTTCATGAAGATTATAACTGATATTTTAATGAATTTATAAACATGAGAAAATATAGCAATTTTTTAAGTTAGTTTTTTTTTTTTTTTTTTTTTTTTTTTTTTTTTTTTTTTTTTTTAAGTAATCTTACAAATTATCTTTTCTAACTTTTTGCGATTTTTAGTTCTAAAAAGTGACACAAAATGAAAGAAGATATGAACAAGTTGGAGCTCAAAGACGAGAGAATTATTTTGTAGAGGATTATTTCGATTTACTTCTTAACTTTCATAGAGAAAACTAGATCTCATATGGAAAATCGAACTTCCAACCTCCCCCTCGTGGGTAAGGAAAAATCTACTCGACTCCTCTATAGACCCCTCAAGAGAGGTGGCTTAGATCCAGATTTATACCACCCGTCCAATAATGATAACATTCCAACCATTTAAATAATAAAATAATTATTTATTTTTGCTAAAAAAAACTCGTTAAGACAACAGATTTATTTTTGTTTTAAAACTTATTTCGCCACGGTAAAAAACAAGTGCGTTTAAAAAAAATTTCTTAATTTTTTGATGAAAAAACTTGTTAATGTTGAGTAAAAAACCGGATTTACTCTGAAAATTTTATGGTTTTGCGCAACCAACCCAGCTTCCTGTTTAAAATCGTAAATCTCAAGGAATTTTTTTTAACAGTGTTAATGAAATGGGGCTTTATTTCCCTTCCTTTTAAAAATGTGTGCATCTTATTTACTTATACAATTTCAGCAATTTTCTAAGAGAAAACGGACTTAGTATTGCAGGTTTTTAAAAACCATTTCACGTTTTAAGTTGTAAAAGGTTGTGTGAAAATCCTATGCATATTAGTTTTTAGATAGAAGAAAATAATAAAAATGACATCAAATTTCTGACATTAGTAAACTAGAACTAAATAGTTTTTATCTTTTGAGAATTAATTTTGATTTTTTTACAGATTCTATTCTTCTTTTTCTTTTTCTTTTTTCACCGACCTTCAGTTTTTAAAACGCAATATATTATGCAGCGTAACCGTACGTGTCATTCAACTCCTTTATTTTTCTGAAGAAAATTAACATCCATGCAACACAAATGAAAAAAATCTTGAAAATAAAGTCGTTGAGACAAGAAGCCATTATGAAAACTCACACTCTGCATATAAACCAGCAATTAATGTAAAATATGTTGACCTCAACGCTATGTTTTTTTTCAATTGAAATTGATTTGGATTAGATTTTTAAAGAAAATAATAAATCCAAAAAAGGTTAAAGAAACACTAAAATCCCAGAAACAGGAATATACTTATCATAAAATCAAATCTATGCAGCTTTCAACTCATTATCATACTCTAAATTTTTACGAAACATAAAACGAAAACACTTGTCGCATTTTTATCATTGACCGAACAGAATTTGCTAGATATTTTTAAATTAGAGTTATAAATTATTTGCATTATTAAAAAAATAATAATTAAGAAAGAAATAAATAAAGCAATGGAAAATAAATGAATAAAAGCAACAGAAAATCCAAAAATACAGTTCGACTTGTATTATAAATAAAGTTGTTATAATTATTATAAATAGTAAGATTTAAATATAAGATTAAAAAATATTAAAATTTAAAAGCAAATTCTTTTTCGTGACTTCGATTCCGTTCATGAGAGCAATGATAAGTGGGAAGTTGTTTTTTCCTATTCTATCCTATTTTATTTCTTTAATGACTTTAATTGACACTCTTAAAGAAAATGCGCACAACTATTTTAATTATTTTAAATTAAAAATTTCAATAATGTTTCTAATAAACAAATGATATCTCATAAAAAATATCACAATAAAAATTTAATAATAGCTTTTAAAAATATCTCATAATCAATAAATGATCTTTTTAAATGGAGCACAAGTCATAAATAAAAAATGAAACACTCTAAATAACTTTTGATAAAAAAAATTTTTAATCAAAACATGAAATACAAAATGCATGTATAAACAATTCCCAAAGTACCTACTTACTACAAGCAAATTTCTTTCACGTATAATGACTTTTGGTATTTTGTACAGGTACTTTTTTTTTCAAAGCAAAATGTAGATACGAGGCAGAAAAAAAGAATTAATTGATTGAAACTATGCATTTTATGGTTGCGACCCAATGTCGCATGGTTGCAAAACAATGTCGCAACAGCAAAATGCCTTTTGATTGATTTTCGCTTGTAATTTTGATTGATTTTCAAGTCATATTTAAATCATTGAAATGTTTCAGATATTGCTATTTCAAATGCAACATATTATAGAAAATCTATACAACAATTTTGTTTATTAAAATCCCATTTTTAAAGATTTTAACAACTGGTAGCGTGTGTATCACTTGCGTTACTTCACTAAACAAGCAATGAGATCAGAAACTTCATCAAAATTTTATGTCTAAATTTAGAGTACTATATTAAAATAAAAACACATATTTTAAAAATATATGTACCCTTCTTTACAATAGAGTTTGAATTTATCACCCATAAAAAATTACAAAGGAATTTTGAGAACTTTCCGGGCACAGCGAACAACTAGTTAACTTTTCATTTTATGACGTACCTTAGTAGAATGTTAACCAAGCTTAAAGCCAAAACGTAAATATTTGCCTCATATCAGCTCTGAATATAAACAAAAACCGGTTTTGTAGCTTGAGATGAGGTTTCTCTCATCCTCATAAACATACGCAAAGTAGAGGTCTTTACGTAATAGAACCGGTTTAACCTCTCTCCTGGCTTCCTAGATCTCTTCGATATGAGGTAAATTTTTTCTTTGAAAACGGAACATTTCAGAGCTCCATCCCATTCCAGTTTTGTGTTCAGCCAGTGAAAGGGTTTAAAGCTTAATTTACGCTGAATTTATTTTTCGGAGTTTAACTTATTTTTCATTCATAGCTTAAGTTATTTTTCATTCAAAACTTAATTCATATTTCATTGCATGAGATAATTTCTTTCTCGTCCGTAGTTTTTAATTGATTAAACACTATACCCTGTTCTGTTCAATATGCCCTTTTTTTACATTTATTTTTCATACAAAATTTCTTCATAAAATAAAAGCTACGTCAATGATAAAAAATTTCGAGTTACCTGTTTCCACTGTCTCAAAAGAAAGGTCTTATCAATCATAAATATCTTTAAATTGAACATAGTTTCATTTGTTTTATTATTAATTTGAACGTGTGTAATAATTTTAAAACAAACATATTTTGATTATTATACTATTTATAAATGTGCCTATTAGCTCTGGGGCGAAAAAAAATTAGTAATTTTCGTTCTTAAATTTTTTTTTCTTCCAGAATTCTATGTTTACTTTACCATATGAATACCTAAACAATAGATAGAATACCTAAACAATTCTATAACTGCATTGAAGATTTTTGATGAATGTTGTTAATTTTGATGTTTTTGGTGTTGATGCTTAAAAGTACTTATTTTAAATTATCAATTTTTATTTTTACTTCGACATTAAGAACTATTCTTTGAAACATTGAATAGTTTATTATTTTATTTCACACATCAAAAAAATTTCAATAATATTACTTAATGCAATATAAAATGGCATAGCCGATTTGAAATGTTTGAAAAAATATTTTATTTTTGTAACTTATTTATTGCTTTATTTTAGAATGTGGACGGAGTCATATGCGTGATAGTAAAATCGTTGGTGGAGAAAATGCCAATTTCGGTGAACAACCATGGCAGGTAAATTTTCCTTGATATTAAAGTACAACATTTGGGAGGAAAAGTGTGATTGACTTGCAATTAAAAATATTGTCAATAAACAGGCTTTTAAAATTCCAGAATGTACGTTGCACACAGGAAACACATTCTAGTAAAAAAAAAAACTCATAATTATTGTAATTAAACTAAACTATATGAAATTTAAACTATTCATTTGGTAAATGTTTCCGTTTATATAATAATGATCTAACTGAAATTTTGTTTTTTAAAATTATAGTTCTCATTTCCACCCATTTAGTAAAAAATATAAAATTATGTTAATTTAACCGAATAAATGGTTCTTATGCCAAACTCTAAGAAGTCATTATAAAATTACCAACTTTTACCACATTTACCAAATTTTAATGCATATTTTAAAACTATATTTTATTGTTAATTGTACCAAAACCATTATCAAAGTGTTTCGGTAAAAATTACCTTGCATTTTGTTGTTTCAATAGAGCTTGAAAAACGGTAGATTTTTCTATATTCTAGTAGTTTTGACGATGCTTTTTCTCTAAAATAGAAAGTTGATATACAAAAAGTAAATCATAGAGGCACAGAGATGTAAAATTTTTAAATATACGACTTAATAAAAAATCTGATAATTCAGAAACTGTTTAACAACTTTTCTTATTCACTCTTTTCATAATTTTGTGCAAAAATTTTGTGCAAAAAACCCGCTAATAAACTGTTTGAGATTCGGCCAAATAAGTCCTGCTTTCCCGAATAAACTATTAGGATTGGCTATTATTTTTTCTGATTGCGACTACTCCCCTGGATTAAAAATCCTAATCTGTCAAAAACACAGTAAGTTTATTCTGATAAAGCACGTTTCTGTGTCTGATTTCGTAACTTAAAATATTCCCTGCACAAATTAATTAGCATATGAAGCGCAGTTACGTTAGGCGCTCAAACCATTAAGAGAATCTAAGTACGTTAAAATCCGACCATTAGATCAAAAGTTTTTCAAGATGTTCACTTTATATTTAGTGCATTGACATCTGATTATAAAACTCCTCTTTAAAAAAGTTAATTGCATAATTTATAGCAATAACTACACTTAAATATTATGAACAAATTACCAGTGCCATTGATGGAAGCATTAAAACTGACATGTTTTGAAGAATCACCCTCTAAGTTTTACTGAAATATGTTTTGTTTATTTGAATTTTAATGAACCTCTGTTTCACTATAGTAAATATTTTTTATAGGTAGCTATTGTGAAGCAATCTTTCCTGTACCGAAAAATTTCATGTGGTGGAGCTCTAATAAATCGTCAATGGGTAGTAACAGCCGCACATTGTGTTGCTAGGTATAATTTTTCATGCCTCAATAATCTGACTACAAATAATTTTTTTTCTCTATTTTATGATTTTCCTCAATACAAAAATATTAAAAAACCATTTTAAGCATATTACGCAACGTTAAATCTTCTGCTGTAGAAATGTTTAAATTGACTAAACAAGATCTGGTGTAGAAGAAACTTTTAATCGTATGAATTTAAACAAAATAAGTGTGCAACATTTTGATTGTTAGATGCATAAAATTGCACATTTTGTCTTTTTAGGAGTATTGTTCATAATCTTCTTTTATCCGTTGCCTAAACCTAGCGACTATGACAGCTTCAAGGCACATAAAAATTAATTTTAAAACTTAAAATATTTAATAAATTTCCTTGCTACGTGAAATACTGCATAATTCTATAGCTTAGAAACTAAAGAAACCCCTTGATTAAAATGTGGATAAATGCACTGTAAAAACTTCTGGATCAAATTGCGGTAGATAGCACTACATCGTTAAATCTATTTTTACCGTAAAATTTTGCGCAAAGAAAATCTGATGTGCGTAATTTTTATATACAGCAATATTTACTGTAAAATCACTTAATCACTGTAATTAAATAAGTATTACAATAAAAATTACTGCTTGAAATGTTACGGTATAATGGGTTTTACGGATGTAGCACTCAGGGTGCCTGTACTTTTTATCGTAATTTGATCCGAAATTCTTACAATATAGGTAAAGAGTAATAATGCGTGAGAATTAATAAATTGTAAATAAAGCCAACATCGCCATTTTTTGAAACATGAAGTTTTGTGCTGTTTTAGCTATTTTTGAGCAAAAGATTTATGAAACAATGAAAGAGACGCTGTCTCTTTGATTAGAAAACCACTGTCTGTAACAGGAAAATGACTTATCTCTATCAAGAATCGACTTAAATTGCTTGCTGTGGTTTTCGGTTTAAATAATAATTAATATTAAAGATATTTAAAATTCAAAAAATTGATGATGATAATTCTTAAATTCTATATTTAAAAGGTTTTAGCGACTCTCTTTGAAAACCCTCTAATCTAAATTTGTGACGTGATTTTATTAAAAATCCTTGCTTCAGGAACTGAAACTAAATGTTTATGTTTATATATTTTTTTTGGCATTGAAACTTTTCTATTCTTCGAATTTCTGTTTTGAACATTTGTAACTTTTTAAACATATATTTGAATATTTAAAAAAAAATTTTTTTGTTAAATTTTGAAAATCATTCGCCTGATTCATTCGTCGCTTCACTGCTAGAATTTTCATTCTAAAATTATAATAAAATAACCGGCAAAAGTCTGTCTATCCAATTAACCGTAAAGTTTTCGGTAAAAAACCATTTTTATATTTACGGTTTTGAAACTGTTTGCAACTGGTATGGTTAAAAAAAGCATAAATACAAAGCTACACGGTTTTTTAACCATTTAAAACTGTAATGGTTTCAAAACAGCAAAAAAGAAGTTTATCTGGACATTGGAGATAGTTTAGCAGCCATCTATGCGTGAATGAGAGTATGGTATTCTAATAGCCCAAGGACGCAAATTGAGGAGTTCAGGACATTGGAAACTCTTTATGTGTTGCAAGGAATGAAGAAAATATTGTGGTGTCAACGTAAGGACTCGAACGCCATTCCGTTGGCCATGAGAGTGACAGATTAGCCTGCTCGACTTATGTACCCATCTGCAAAGAATCAAGTGGCTTCTTAGGTGGGTTCGGTTGCACAATAAAATTCTGGTTGTTTAACCATATCAGGTGAAAGCAGTTAATGAACAGTTTATCCCACAGTTGACTGCTTGAATACCATCTTATTTATGGTTATATGATTGTTTTGTTTGAATATGGTAAAATAACAATTCAATAAATTGTTATTTAACCATTTTTTCCGAGAAATTTCTAACAGTGTGCAGGAAGTTTTAGTCAAAACTTTTGTAAATTTGACTAATGTGAAATTTTTCAAAGCATGATTTCTGTGCATAGCTAAAAAATTATTATTATATTTGATTTTACTGTTTTTGCAGAACTCAGACAAATGGGCTGAGAGTTCGCATGGGAGAACATGACATCAAGCAAACAACGGAGAAATATGCACATGAAGAAATGAATGTCAGGAGAAAAGTTGTAAACCCTGGATATAATCCTTCCAATTATCAACATGATATTGCTCTTTTACAACTGCAACGACCTGTACGATTCCGAAGACACGTGATTCCAGTATGCCTGCCACACTACAGCGAAGATTTTTCTGGTCAAAAGGCTACTGTTACCGGTTGGGGTCGAACACGATATGGTAAATATATTTATTTTTGATCTTCCTATATAATTTTAAAATATGCATTCATCAATATTAAAAATATAAAAATTGCGTCCGAATTTTTTCACTCATCTACTAATTAAACATAAAGTTTGTTTAGTAAAACAACTTTTATTTAATTTATGAATGTCTAAATAATAATTAAAATTTAAATTAATGCTTAAACAATTATAATGATTTTTAAAATCATTTATTAATTACCATAATTAAATATTGATAATATTGTAAATATAAAAATATTGAAAAGTAATAATATAAATTCCTGTCTTAGTCATTAACAGTTATATACATCACACTATATAGTGTTTTTTTTTTCAATTAATGTTAAAAGTAAGGGAATACGGGTTTTTATTTTTATCTTTCACAACTATATGAATTATAACTTTTACTATGAATATCCTAACAATATCATATAAGTTATTAATGTTAATAAAATAACATGCTGAATGGTCCGCATATTATCACTTTTTAGTTGAAGTGCTGTGCGAAAAATTCAGCTTTCAATTCAATTTAATTTCATATCATTTCGAAGTTAATTTCACATTTGGACATTTTTTAATTCATTCCCACATATTTATGTGGTAAACACATATTTCAATAAAAAAATTTCGATTTCAATCTTAATATTCTGTTTAAAAAAACAGAACATTTTTTACGCCCGGAGCTATCAAGTCGTAGTATTATGAATAAAGCAAAACAATGTAAATAATGCACAAATTAAAATACAGAAATGGACATACTATAGCTTTGATTCTATTAACAAGAACTTTCCTAATTAATAGACTAAGAATCTGATTAAGTGTCTGTATAATAAACTGAGGAAAGTTCTAGTTTATTGAACTGAAACTATAATATTCTGTACATTATCTGTGCTAGATTCACGTTGTTTTGTTTTATTCATAAGTAGCACAAAGTATATCCTACACTCATTTGAATCGTAGTATCATTTTTATATTTCAGAAATATAGGAGTTTTGACTTTTCTAATTTCAGCCCTTATTTTTGTTTAAAAATTCTTCATCTACCAATTAATTTTGGAAAAATATTTTTCGAATGTAAATATCGAAACGGTATTTTCAAGACACTTTTTTATCATACATTTAAATAGTTATAATAATCCTTGACTTACTTTAATAATTGCTTAAAATAATTAAAAATGCGTTTTACATAACATCTCATAAAACATACATATTATAACAGCTAAGAAATAAAGCGCTCCCCTAAATGAAAATATCAGACAAAAACTATGGAACACATTTGTTCTTAAACCTTGTACTATTAAAAACAATTCAAAATGCCACAAAATATTCATTGTCTTCTCAAAATAAAAAATTCACATAGATAATTTAGAGAATCAATTCTTTTCTTCTCTTGGAGTTCACTTAACACTGAAACGACATATATGATGGTTGAATTGTAACATTCTCTGTGATTGAAAAAAAATTAATTCTAGACAATCTCTTACGCTACAGAGCCCCAGTTTTTCCAATTCTTATACGCTAAAGTGCCTATTTCCAGTTGAAAATAATTATATAAGTTATATAAAAATAAAATATTTTCATAAAATAATTTGGCAAACAACTGCAAAACCTTTCCTATAAATTGTCCCTCGTGGTCAGTTCTAGTTCTTGCCAGAAATTTATCTTACAATAAATTGCTTTTGTGTTTTCAATTCCGGTAAGCCCAATGCTCTTTTGGGCCATTCAGATTTGGAAAATTTTGTATCTGCCAATAATATTTGTCACTGGTCAAAAAATTTACTTTACACCCTATTTTTGACAGGCTGTCTAGCTGTTTCTGGAACTAATGAAAAAGCTGTGTGCAAAATTTTATTCCATTATAAAAACTTAATAAAATTTCAGCAAGTTTAGTAAGAATAATTTTCAAATCATTTTTAAGTAATTTAAAAATTATGTTTTGAGTTAAAAAAAAATATGAAAGAAATATGGGGCCAAATATATGACCAGATTTTTTTAAATTTAAGTACTGAAATCATATTTACTAATTCGCGACTATCTTTCTATTTTGGGAGATTGATATCCAAATCTTTCAAAAAAATATAACTATGCAGGAAAAGTACGTTTCTGTGCCTGGTTTCGTATCTTAATTAATATTTAGCACTTATTAATATTCTCAAGGTCACCCTTCCAAACAATTAAGATTGTTACATTAAAAAGTAATTCAAATTGAAGATTAAAACAAAAGTTATTCAAGATGATTCTTCTTTGCATAGCTTTTCCAAAAGTATGAATTACGGAAATTTAATTAATCATTTGTGCAAATCAATTGAGATATTTATGATCTGATCCTTGAACCATTTAGATCGTATCTTTGTAAAATAATCCAATCAGGGTTTTGATTTTATCCTCAAACATGCATCTTTATAAATTTAAATTAAGCAATTCGTCAAAAATTATATTAAATAATGGTTTTGATTTAGGTGTTCGAGACTCTCCTGGAATTCTTCAAAAAGTTGAACTTCAAGTGATTGACCACAATGAGTGCCAAGAATGGTATAAAAGCATTGGAAGAAAAGAAACAATTTTTCCAACTATGGTATGCGCTGGTTTTAAAGAAGGAGGTAAAGATTCGTGCCAGGTATGTTAAGTTGAGAGTGGAAATATAGCTATTATTTTAGACTTCAATGAAATTTATTTTGAAATATATAGATCATTAGGAATTATGATTAAAGGTGTTTTGAATGTAAAAATTAAATTACTGAAAACTAAAATATAAAGCCGAAAGGAAAACACACCTGTCAATAGAGAAACTCTAAAAGGGAAATCTAATGGAAAGAGAAATTTAAAGTTTTTCACGTCGCAGCCAAATACATGCATGCAATTTCCCTATTTGTAACCAGACTATGTTTCTCTAAATTGAAGCAAATTTTTAACTTTTTTTCTTTCTAGAGATTAATTTTGGACATGGTAGGACATTATTTAGCAAAATGTGAAAATTGCTTAGGCTAATTACGGTACATTTGTTGATATGAATTCAAAATTCATCGAAATTAAATCCTAATGTAAAAAGAGTCAACTTAAGTATTGACAAAAACTTCACAACTATGAAATCACAATGATTCAGTATCTTAACCCTAAATACAATGCGTTCTAATATTAACACCTTGCAATTATCTTTGAAAATGTGAGTGTTCCCCTTAAAGATGAGTTAGGCTACCTCATAACAAGAATAACCATACTTTATTTATATATAACAAATAATATTTAACATGATTTCACTTTAATGAAAAAAGAGATACAATACCAGATCTAAATACTAGTAAAGACTTTTTAGGTTGACCTTTATGTGGACATTATTCTTATATGCTGACAAAATTTGCATTAGAAACTGTGGTGACTCCGGCGATAAAGCATTGACCTCTCAATGAGATCATCCAAGTACGAATCCCAATGGCGGCTGGTCGGTACAAATATTGCTCCCTATTTACAATGACCTCAGTACTGACATAAAATATTCTCTGCGGTAGACATAATCACGAGTTAGAACCCTCTTGCCATCTGGGTAACCTTGGGAGGTTTATATAGTTTTCCACTCCATGCAAAGCAAATGTGAGTTAGTTTCATAAAAAAGCCCTCTACAAAGGCCAGTTTCTTCCGAAGTTTCATCTAAGAGTTCCCTTGCTTTCTATGATGACTTCAGAATTGCAAGGCTACTGACTGACAGACGTAAGCCCAAAAAGGACTCGGCTGCTCAAAGCTGGTTATAATATATTATATGATTATTATATAAAGTTTATTTAAAGTTGTTCTTTACATTATAAAAATGTTACTTATCTCATAAGCAGTAATGTGACTTTAATATCTGACAAGGAATTTCTAATGATAGGAACAAACTGAGGGGGATTACTAAATAAGGCAGAAGCACAGAAAATGAAACTTAACTTTTACTTTAAATAATATTGCTCCATATAAATCATTGAACTGGGACAACTTTGGCATCGGATGCAATCGTATAAAAATATTGCAATACTAAAAGAAGCAATGATGAATTATATTTTGTATCACGAATTGTCACTGAATACAGAAAGAAAAGTCTTCGGAAAAGTTGCCAAGGCTTATCTGTCTACAACTTAGATCATCGGCAGCTTACCTTAAAACCGTAACTTGACAAAAACGTTCTCCTTCGTATTAATATGAATTGCTATTCTAATAAAATCAAATCTTTACTAGTTCAAAAGTTTTATTCTTCCTCCTAATAATACCAACACCTAGGCTTTTTAACTTAGGTATAAAAATTTAAAATACTGTCTTGTTTAGCTGATCTCTTGGAAGAGAATTTGAAACATTTCATTTTAACGCCACTAAGTGACCTCACAACAGACCAGGGAAGAAGGATCACACAATATCAACACAATAGCTTAAGCCCATTCACATATCAACACAATAGCTTAAGCCCATTACATTATGTATTTTGGCCGTTAGTTAAACTTTATATTAGTTGTTGTTTTCTTTTTACACTGTTTTCGGTAGCTTTACATGAAATCCTTTGATTTTTTTTTTTTTTTCGATTTTTTTTTCCCTTTCATGTTTTATTTTTTTCATTTTAAGTAAGAATGTGTGCAAAAACAAATATAATTTTTTTCAATCAGATTAAAGTTATTTAAAAAGAAAGAAGATAACTTCAATTTGTGAAAAAATTATTTTACATTTAGTTGTTTTATTTCTATATTTAGCATTATTATTTCTTGTAGATCTAGTGGTATTTTTACTAAAAAAAAATTTTTTATCGGTAGTTCCATAAATGTGATTTTTTTATTTCCCAACTATCCAAATTTATAAATATCCAAAAAGATTAATAAATTTTTTATTAGTTATGTTTTTATACAAGTATTTATATACTATTTCTGATATAAAATATTGATTTCCTTTGAACCATATTATGGTACAAAACCAGCTTCTTCACAATATTATTGATTCAAATAGATTACACTCTTTGGTTAGTTTGACATTTTCAGATTAAACAAATTTGCTCGATATTATCATTAAAATAAGGACAATATTATGGTTCAAACTTAAAACAAATGCTTTCATTCATGGTTCATTACTTATATACTCATCTATTGATATGTATTACTAATTACTTTAAATGGTAAGCTCCGCAAAGATTTACCTCAAAGTAGCAGGTAAGTTTTTTATTTTTTATAATTTTAAATGTCTATGGCAAAACCATTACTGCGGAAAATGATTTGGTATTGGTAAGTATAAAGTATTTATCTCATTAAAATTCTTAAAACAAAATTTAGTATAATTTCTAAGTGCCAGATTGAAATCAATACAATTTTTTGAATAAGCCATTTGATTTTAAAGATAATAAATATTTGTTACGGCACATACTGTTAGCGTATAAACTTAGTTACTCAAAGTAACGGAGGTAGCTTATGCAACCAATGGAGCTACGTGAGTTATGTACCCGTTTTTTAATGGTTATTAAATATATTTCAAGTATTACTTACATGCACTTATTAATAAATACATAATTTACAGTTGTTATTACAAAGCTAAATCAAAAATGCTTTTTATTGCTCAAATTACTATTTCATCAATTATAATCATTTTATTAATTATTTTATTAATTAATTATTAATTATACTTTCAAACTAGAGTGGAAGTATTATTTATGAAATTCTATAATTGTTATTTCTACTCAACTTTGAAAGTTGTTTCCCCAATTACTTTTTGCCTCATCTTGCTTTTAAGGGGGATTGTTAAATATTAAGATAGAAGTATAAATCATTTAATCAAAAAAATAGAAAATTTACTAATTTCTATTTTCGTTTAATGTGGTCATTAAACAGATTATTATTTTTCAAATATCTTTCATCTGATTTGAATTTCATACTCAAACAATTTGTATTAAATTGATTTGAATTAACAATTTGGATTAACTGCAATTTGTCTATATGCTTATCATTCATCAAACTTATCGTCTCCGAAACCATTAGAAACATTTCTTAAATTACTGAATAAGTACTGAAAGGATCGTTCTGCATGTTAAGATGTACAAAGATACGCTATTACTCTCAAGAACATGGTCCCAAGTGTAACATTATTGCCAAGATAATAGGAAGAACAATTATTAATTCGACTCAATTGCTGCGCATTTTCAGTTCCTCTAGTTAAATCAGAGAACTTTTAGAAATTGGATAACGGGATTTGAACCAGTGTTTGCAGACGAACACTGTTCCGCAATTTTTTCTAAAACTGTTTTACTGCTTTTTTCTTCTTTCTTTTCTTTCCTTCTTTCTTTTTTTTTTTTTTTTTTTTTTTTTTTTTTTTTTTTTTTTTAGTGACCATTTAAGTGGCCTCCAAAGAAATAGCATATTCACTCTGAAATCTGAGGGGAAAAAAAATTTTTTTTTCGGTAAAAATGAAAGCAATTCTATAAAAATGAAGAAAAAGGATTAGAAAGTTAAAAAAAAAGAAAAGAAAATCCAAAAATTTTGTCTCCTTTTTCAAAATTACCAATTTATACGTTCTAAAAACACTGTATTGTATGATACATACTTTTTATTAATGATGAAACAAAATCATTCTACAATGTACAAAAAAAAAACATTACAACTTAAATAGCTTTTTAGATAAAGATTGGATTTTAACATACAGGTAAAAAACTTTTTATCGATTTTTACCAAATATAGGTAACTGGAAAATGTGAAATAAAGCATGTCGTCAGTTTAAAAATCTTAAAATAATATTGTTTTTTCCATAAATGGGAAATTAATCTAGATTTAAACTTTTTACATTCAAACTTAAAACTCATCTACTTAAATAAAAATATTCAAAAAAATATTTTCTGAAAAATAGTTGCATTATATTTTTTGTTTGTTTTAATAATGGATAAATATAAACTTTTTGCATGGAATCCATTGCTTAGTTCTCAAAACATGACAATTTAAAAACTAATTTATTCTCAGAAATTTGATTATTTAAAAAAAATTAGGAACTGCAATTTTTATGTAAAGTAAAATTTAAAAAAAATTATTTTAATTGAATACAAATGATAATTTTTTTGTTCAATTTCATTCAATGAAATGAATATGACTAAAAATTTTTCAAGTTATTTTAAATGGTTTGAAATAAAAAATCATAATTTTTTTAGTCACATTTTGCAGTTTGAAACACTGAAATTGCTTTTTATTGCTTAAAAATTTGATCATTAGATTAAAATATATCCGGGGTTTTGAATTTTCCATCCACACTGAATTCATTTTGATACTTTTAAACATGAACTCACATCAATTTCAATTTCAACATCAATATTTGTATCTGTTCCCTTCTTAAAACTGCTTATTCAATTGAAATTCATTAATATTTTTTAATACTTTAAATCAAAGCTTTTTTTACCCTTTAGGGTGACTCTGGTGGCCCCTTGACTGCAGTAAAAAATGGAAGATCTACCTTAGTTGGTTTAGTTTCTTGGGGTGTCGGCTGTGCAAGACCGAAACTACCAGGTGTTTATACAAAAATATCCGAATATGTGGATTGGATAGAAAAAGTCACTAGCTAACACACATTTTTATTAAAAATTCCTAGGAAAATAAATTTGTCTTTTTTAAATTGTATTATATATAGTAAGAGCAGCTATATTAGCTATTTAGGCTTTGGTAGAATTTATTCTTTCCAGAGAATTATTTAAAGTAACTCATTTTGAGTATATAGTTTCAAAAAGAATTTATCTCATTCGATATTTTTCGAGAAAAGGATAACGTTTTCTTCAACGTGTTATGATAATGATACAGAATTTATTTTTTTTTAAGAAATATAAAATATTTCTTTTGCTAAAAATTTTATAACCCTTACAATGACAATTTATTTTAAGGAAATTATTCTGATTGTTTTTCTGTTTTACATAATTACACTGTAAGAAATTTTGGATCTAATTGCGATAAATTTGTACCGTCACTCAGAGTGTCTTTTTACCGTGAAATCCATTTAAAATCAGTTACAGAACAAAAAATCTGATGAACCGCAATTTTCTGTGTAATAATATTTACTGCAAAATCATTGAATCACTGTAATTAAATAAGTACTACTGTAAAAATTACGGTATAAAATTTATGCTAAAAAGGAATTTTACAGATACAGCACCCAAGATGACAGTAATTTTTACCGTAATATGAAACGGAAGCTTTTACGGTGCAGGAAGTAAATAATCATTTTTTGTCTATTTTATTACTTAAATTAAGGAATAGTTTGTTTGACATATTAACATGCAGCTTCAGAATTCTAAAATATAAGAAAATGATATCATTAATTATTACAGTTAAAAAATGAAACATTATTTTTAATTGGAATAATTAGATTAAGTTTAATAAAAATTAAAAGATTCATTTACCGAAGATGGTCTTAAATTGTAGCAACACTATTTTATTTGCATTAAGGTTATTTGCTCTACAACTTTTATCAGCTCCTCTCTAAACAAAATAAAGATAAAATTTATTTGAAAACAATTATTCCTTTTTTAAAAAAATTAGAAAATAGTCTAATCAATTGAAAATCAATCCAAATTTTAAGCCTAGTAAATAAGCTAAAGGTGGTTAAAGATTAAATGCCAAAACTTTTAAAGATTGTTCTTCAAATGAAAATGTCAACTGACTAACTTGGTGGATGATAGATTAATGAGAGATGCGTATTGATGGAAAATCGTAGATATTGTAAATGCAACAACAGGTGATTTTATGCCTTTAAACAAAAAAATTTCTTTTGACACTTACTATACTTGCCGTATTAAGTCCTCATTTATTTCAATAGGAGCCAAAATATAAATTTATTAGTATATTTCTTTTAGTAAAAAATTGCTTCTTTAAACGTGTTTTTTAACAATTGTATAAATTAAACTCAGCGCGTAATTAAAATTCTATTTAATGATTTTAAAAATGATTATATTTTCGATACTTAGGAATAAAACCATGTAATAAAACTTACTATGCTGGACATGTATGTAATTGCAATATACATATTTTGTAAATTGAATATATTTTGTAGATAAAAAAAAATAATGTATATAAACATTTTTGTAAATAAAATGAATTGTTCTTATTTTCATCTAGTCTTTATTAAACATATTTACAGCAGCACATTGATGCAATTTTTTAACTTTTGAAGGATTAATACAGGGTCTTCTAAAATTGTAATATGCAAATTATTTATCATAAATGCGGTACAAAAATGAAAAATACAAAGTTTTTAAATAATAAAAGAATAAAATCCGCATTTTTCTGCAAGCCATCACTCATCCGACGGTCATCAAGAGGTTTGTGAAAATAATGCGATTTAATTTAGTATTCTGACGTAACAAGCATAAACTGCTGGACTATTAAAGGATCAGATATATCGTTTATGGTAACGGAGCCTTTTCTTTTCTAGGAAGTGTTGATTCAACTCACTTAACTATATTCAAACTTAAAACCAACATACAGGCATGAAGTCGTAAACGCTTATTTACATGGTAGTTTTTGGAGTTCTAACAAACAATGAACATTTTATAACTAGTGACACAAGACTGCCTTATGCGATAGACATTTTCTTATGCATCATTTCTCAACGCTTCCATTTTCTTTGAACTGTTTCATACATCCATTTAAAGCTTATCTGAAGCTTTTTTACACGGTAAAAACCGTGATGAATTATCAATTTGATTTTGAAGAACTCTAAAAATTGTGTAAAAGAATTTTTTTTTTCAAGTTAATGTCAGATCGCTAACGTTCTTATACAATTTAAAAAGCACTAAATACCTATAATGGAAAAATTTACACCAAGATAAAACGCCTTCAACGTGCAATAAATATTTTCGATTCCGAAATAAAAACTCTAATGTTGGCGCACTTTTGGTTATCGTCTGTAATTGTTTACAATCAATAACGAGCTGGCGAGTGTTTTTCGTTATCTTAAATACCTCTTTTCATCTACAGAAACTGAAGTTCGCTATTGAAATATGTATGGATGTTTTTAGTTGTGTAATAAAGATATGCATATTTTAGTTTTCAAGTCTCTGTAAATTATATTAAATAATTCTATAATGAATAATTTCTATCTGCTTCTTCTCTGTTAAGCCTAGTTTGTATTCGTCTTAATATTCTCTCTATATGCTCTGCTTATTTCTGATTTATAAACCAATTATTTTTAAGAATTAGTGTATATATGCAACCTAAATTAATGATTCTTACTTTATTTTTGTCTCGTAAAAATAACTCTACTGTCTCCTATGTGTATCTTAGCCTACTACAATTATAAAGATTAGTGTTATAGAACGCAAAAAAACAGTGACAGCTACTTTACACCAAGTAGCATGTATAATTTCTTCTACTCTGTTAAGCCTAGTTCGTAATTGTCTTAATATTCTCTCTATGCTACGCGTATGTTTGGTTTGTAAACTAATTATTTTTAAGAATTAGTGTATGTATACAACCTAAATTAAAGATTCTTACTTTACTTTCTTCTCGTGAAAATAACTTTACTGTCTCCTACGTGTATCTTAGCTTACAATAATTATAAAGATTAGTGTTACTAAATGCGAAGAATAGTTACAGCTACTTTAAGCCAAGTAGCATGTATGATTTTTTCTGCTCTGTTAAGCCTAGTTCGTATTCGTCTTAATATTCTCTCTATGCTACGCTTGTATTAGATTTATAAACTAATTATTTTGAAGAATTAGTGTATGTATGCAACCAAAATTAATGAGTCTTAATAAGAACAGTTTGAGAAATTCTGTCCTGAAAGATCATGCAATTCACTTGAATGCTTTTCAAAAAAAAAGTTACCAATAAAAAAGATATGCCGATTCCGCTCGTCCGACACTTACCTCAGGGTGGACATAAATTATTCTTAGTGATAAATAGGTCATAGGCCAGAGTAGAGAAAGATTGTCGGTAGGTTAACAGCGGGAGGTTTTTAATGCTTTTTCTCTCCATGCAACACAAAAAAAAAAAAAAAAAANAAAAAAAAAAAAAAAAAAAAAAAAAAAAAAAAAAAAAAAAAAAAAAAAAAAAAAAAAGAGTTCATTTCAGTCGATCAATCCTCTAAGAAGACATTTCTCCTGATACTTGTTCCAGGAGTTCGCTTGTCTTCTGGATTTATTTTCTTTCAAGTTTTTTTCTTTTTTTCAAGAGAGGAGATATGATTCATGACATTAACACTACTATCATAATGAAGTGATGTTCTCAAACGAGGATTAAAAAAGATATATTTCCTATCGCAGAAAACTAATGGTTTTATAGAAAAGTATCACATTTATATTAATAAATTATCAAAATAAATAATTGAATATTTATTAATCAAACTCCTAAAGATGATCAAAATAATTATCACGAAAATTCTTCTAGCATCTACGTTAGCAGTATTGCACATGTTTAAAAAATTTCAATATTGGCTTGCTGAATTATATTTTTCCAATATATATATTTATAATTGAAAATAGTCTGAAAAACTTGAGTAGGTCTGAACTATCTTTGCCAAAACAATGAAATATGCTTCAATATCTTAAACTTATTTTACTGTAAACTATTTAGAATGTGAGTGAAAAACAGCACCACACCTTTTCTGCTGTTGAAGAATATGATAAGTTTAATATGATCCTTACCTTACTAGTCCAATTTTTGCCCTAGACAGACTTAACAAATCAAAAGGTCACTTTTACTACTTTTGGAATTCAACAGAACTAAGATAAACCGGTATTTTTTTCCCATAAAGTAATAGGTAGTGAACTTTTATAGTCTCGACACTATCAAAATACCAATTTTTTTATTAAAATTACTTATTTTATTTTCTCCTAAAGGCAATCGGAACAACTATCACGGGAATTCTGCCATCATCCATATTCAACTTTTAGAAATGTCAATATTAGATTTCTGCTCACAATTTCTTCAATATGTATATTTGTAATTGTAAACAGTCTCAAAAAATTTGAGAAGGCGTGAACTTTCTTTGTCAAAACAATGTAATCTACTTCAATGCAATGCTGTATAATTATTTAACAATAAATTATTTGGCATGTGGGAGTTTAACATCACCACACCTTTTCCGCTGTTGAAGAGTAGGATAAGTTTCATATGATCCTTACGAGTCAAATTATTTCTTCTGACAGACTTAACAAATCAAGAGGCCACTTTTACTGCTTCCGGAATTCAACAGAACTAAGGTAAACCAGTTTTTTTTTTCACCTATGAAGTAATAGGTCGTGAGCTTTTATTTTCATGATACTATCAGGTCATCAGCCTTGAAAAAAAAATGAAAAAAAGAAACATCTCACGTATAAACTTTCTCAACAACTCACCTCAAGAATTCGTTTATCGGGACGAAGTTTAAAAAGTAGAAGAAAAAAGGGCAATGCATCTTAACCAAAAAGAAATTTTAGAGTAACAAAAAGCTAATACCTCATCTTGGCGCCATTATTTGTACGTGACTTGCAAACAGAATCTGTTGATACTTTTATGTCGGAAGTTATTGCGTTAATATAAATCGATACATTGCACTTACTAAGGTAATTTATCCTGACATACCGTACATTGAGGGTATGTAACTTGAAACTTACTATAAAAAGTAAAGCATATCATATTACATAAGTATTCTGTCAGATATTTTGTTACAAAAGATGCAACATTTTGACAACGGAAACTATCCTTAATTGTAGGGAAAGAAAGAGCCAATGTCAAGTTAAGTTTATGCTAATAGAAAAGATAAAAAAATTTTAAAACGTAACATTTTTTAATTTTACATAATTGTGTTTTCAATTTTATCATAATGCATTTTTGATAATATTTTCCTTAAAAAAAATAACTGATACTGATATAAAGGAGAAAGTTAAAGCCTATATATTAACACGTACATGAATTTAATTAGCTCTCCTTAAATTTTAAATAGCGTTTCCACAAATCATTGTTTTTAATGACCGCAGGCTCTATAACATGTTAATTCTTATTAGATGTTTTTTTAAAAAACAAAATTAACACCACGTATAATGTAAATATAGCTAAAAATATTTGGGTGTGTTTATGATTTTTTATGTTGTTGTTTCCTCTAGAACGAAAAATATTGGAAAAAGATTCCTTTTTCATCAAGATAATAACCCTGAACACACATCTAAATGGTGAGACAATTATTTTAAATCAAAAAAAAAATAATAAAAAGAGTCTTTATAAGTGATTTTGTAATCCCCGAAACCAAAGGAGCTCAACGCGAATATAAAACTGTTAAACAACTAGGATTGACAGGTTTAATTGAATGGCTATAACTTAAACATACCTTAAAAGATTGTGATTTGTTTTAATCAATGACAAGAGGACGTCTGGAATAAAAATAATCATTAAAAAGGCATCGAAAAATATAAATACTTTTTATGATTATATATATTTATGATTATATATATGATATATATAAACTAAACTCAGTGGCGCGACAGCCCATAGAGGGCCAATGCCTACTATGCTCATCTCAGTTTTCTTGACCTTGGGCTCTGGGGTGCTGGAGCAGGTGCTTTGGTTAGGTGGTCAGCCGAAAGCGGAACCCCCAGTCTTTAGTTCCCAAGCATGCTTGGTACTCATTTATCTACCCACTGAAGGAATGAGAGGCTGAGTCGACCTTGCCCGGCCCGAGGATCGAACCCAGGACCTGTGCCACGGGAGCGCGAGGTGCTACCACTCCGCCACCAGGCNTATATATATATATATATGTATGTATGTATACATATATAGCGAGAGAAAGATCTCCAAATTTCCGGGCAATAAAACTAGTGTTTACGGTAAAAGGTAAGATATCCGGCATCAGTCTGTCCCTCAAATTGACCGTAAAGTTTCCTTTTCTGGTTTGAAACCGTTAGCAACTAGCGAGGTTTCAAAATTGTAAAAATAAAACTTAACTGGACATTAGGGTGAAGTTGTGATTAGGTTGTGGTTTCTGAAGTGAACATTGGAATGTGTCTTAATTAGTTTATCTAGTGTTGCCATCCATTGTGAGAGATAAGAAATAATACACATTCCTGCGTTAAAGGAATGGAGGAAATATTGCTATGTCAACGCTAGGAATCATACCCCCGTTCAGCTGGTCATGATATTAACAGATTTGCGCTCTCAGCTAAAACAAGTTACCAGCTACAAGGAACTAAGTGGCTTCATAAAGTGTTCACTTGACACTTATTAATATAAGGATATTAGGCATCCGCTGTTGCGTTAGACATCCGATGATATGGAAAAAAAATACATGCGTTTTTTAATCCTTATTTCATTTCTTATCTTCCAGCTTTCAAAGAACGCGTATTTGATTTTCATTGTCTGTGGGATAAAATTCTAGTTGTTTTACCGTATTAAGTGAAAACAATCAATAAACTATTTTTCTAATATTTAACAATTTGAATGTGCTAGTATAACAATTAAATAAATTGTCATTTAAACATTTTTTTTAAAAAATTCTAACAGTATATTCCACAACAATTACGAAAATTTAAAGACAGGTTGTCCCTTATTTTCTTATTATGCATTATGACGTTAGGAAGTCAGAAAAAAATTCTCAAAAAGTAGGCTGCACTCTACTACTTCCGTACATTTATGGTAAAGTGTACTAAATTAAAAAAATGTTTAAAGATTGAAAAATATATATTATTTGTTTGTTTAGAGACATGTTCGTGTGAAATTACACATAGTAATTAAAATATGAAACTAATTAAATAAATCAATAGTTAACTAATAGATATTTAACCTAGACATATATTTCTCTCACAAGCAACGAAATTTACTCCCCAAAAATTTTACCGGCAGTGAAAAAACTACTCGTAAATTTTTTGTTAAATTTGTTAGTATTTTTCCCATACCGTTGAATCGCAATAATCACTTCGCAAATAAGAAGCTTACGGTCTTTTTTATCTTGTAAAATGCGATCATGGCGCAAAATTGTAAAAACAAAACAGAAATTTCATCGTATTTTAATTAATAAGTATTATTTTAGTAAAAGACTAAGCCTAACTGTATAAAAAATCGAAAATATTGTGAAATAATGATTTTTCATTTAAACCTTCAATCAATAATGTTACAGTGTTTACTTTGCATAGTTTATAGGTTATTAATAAAATAATATATGTAATAAAATAAAGATATTCTACAAACATCATCTCTGATTAAAAACTTACTCTTATATTCTAAATTTCACTTCACAAAAATTAAATGCTACGTCCAAAAAATTAAATAATTCTCTTTTCCTTTTGTCAACTGTACATGTACGTCGAAAAACAAACAAAAATCAGATTGCAACTAAAAAATTCTTTTTTATTTTCATGGTTTAAGCAACATGCAGAAACATTTAAATTGACCACATTAGAGGAACCATATGTTTTAAATAGAAATGAATTCTGATATATTTCCGAAAATAGTGCATATATATCACGTAATACGTAATGTATACGAAATTTGTTCATCAAATATAATGAAGAATGATGTTCCTACAACAAAAAGCTCGGTACAATAAAATAATTTAAGTTTCCCGGTTATTTTTGTTAGACAATTAATAACCTCTCATTTGCTTTATCCATGGCAAAAAATAACTAACTCGAGTATAAACATCCGGAAAGCCGGATTTGGCACATCCGGATCCAAAACTTGTCAGGCCAGCTAAAACCCATCCTCTATCTGCTGTTTTGCAAGCTAATGGACCACCTGAATCTCCCTGAAAAAGGAAATGGTCATTTTGTCACTTTACATCATAAAACAAGATACGCAGTTATATTGCATAAATGTTACAAGCATAAATTATAAGTATATATAACGCTTTGATCGAGGTCGTGTTTCATTTATATAATTTTTAGTGCATCTTTTTTGTAATCAAAAAATATAAAAATGGAGTAAGCCATTATAAATTTAGTTTTTTTAAAAAAATTTAAAAGAATAATTCATTAGTTATTGACAACTTTCTTAATTTTTTCAACATTCAAATTGAGTTTTCTTTCATAAGTAAATGATTGCTGTTAAAAACCAAATTATGTTTATAATTTTTTTTTCGTGAATGGGCAGAATAACTATTCTTCAAAAACTTACATATTGCCAAAGTTATACTTTGTTCGTATCTGATATTAAAAGGACCAGGTTTTTGTAACTGGTAATCATTTCTATAATTTAAGCTTGTAACTGACACCAAAGAAGTTGATACTCGGAAAAAATGCATTTCATACTTAAAGACATGGAAATGTCTATTCACTGACGACGAAAAGTATGATTCTATGGCAACACCAAAAAGTTCGACACTTTTATTTTGAAGATCTTGGGTAAAAATTACAATAAAATATGGTTTATAATATGTGATAAAATTTGGTAACCGTGGTAAAATCAGGCAATTTTATCAGGATACCTTAGAGCATGTCATAAAAACTATTTATTCGGTTAACTTCACTTCTCAATTTTGTATTTTTTACTAAATGTGTCTAAATAAAAACTATAATTTTGAATACTAGAATTTCCGTTAAACCATTATCATATGAACGGAAAATTGCCGAATGAATGGTTTAATCGTATATGTTTTTAATCGTAAAAATCGTAAATTTTGGTTTCGTTAACCATAATTGTGATTTTTTTTTACCATTATCATTCAGTTCGGTACTTTTACCAAATTGTTTTTCTCTATTTAAAATATACAGTAATGTTTTTTGCATGAAACAGCAAATTGGATTGGAGAGGAGTTTTGTTGTTACGTATGCTCCCTGTTTTGTAGAAGTTTTTAATGACTGTTTTTAATAATGTTTCTTAATTTCGTTGCAACGGTACTCAAGATGAACAACATATAGATCTTTCGATGCGTTTGTAATTGAAGGGCGTGTTGAAATAGTTCTTTGACTTCAAAAAACCACAAAGAAAAAAGTCTTGCAGCTTTAAATTTCATTATCTGATCACCAAAGCGAGAAATTACATGAGCAAAATATGACACAACAATGTGCTCAACAATGAGAACACTTTGTTTTTCATATGGTGCTTTATTTTTAATAACTCAGAACTTTTAGTTGTCACTTTATTTCACTTATTATTTTCATTGACACTATTTTATAAAGCAAAAAGGGCAAAATTTAAATCATGAAATATTTTCGGACACTCTTTACTTTTATAACAAAACACTAAGAGTAACGTTAGTTGAAAACTAAAAGAAATAAAGGACAATCTAGACATAGTAACTACAAGTAATGTAAGCACGTTGAGAAAAAAATATGGTAAAATTTATAATGTATCTTGCTCTGTGGAAACACCAAATAGCTCGGTAATTTTTACCGAATCGCTTTGGTAATGAATTTAGTAAAATTAACAATATAGTATGGTTTTATAATGTGTGGTAAAATTTACTTACAGATCACATTTAATTTACTGGCAAAGATCTCTTCATAGAAGAAACTTTAACAGTAAAATCAAAACCTTAAAAAAAAACTCCAATTTTTAAATGAAGTAAACTTGCTATTAAATTCGTTAAATTCACTGAGAAATGTGTTACAAAGTTTCTATCTAATAGATTAATTGCATTTTTAATTGGCTTAAATCTGTGCAATTGCTACTTACAATTTCGATATTTTAAAATATTAAAGTATTTTGATAAATATTAGTTATGACCATTTAATATGTGAAAGTTTATTCTAAACATGTATTCTAAAATTTTAGATCAAGGTTAAGGTTGTGAGAACACTCTGTATACAGCGTAAAGTTGATTTTTTAATTTATTAAAATATTAAGGGTGTGGTCTTGAGGTTTCTAAAATTCAAGCAATATTACAACAATTAAAAAAAGAAGGAAATATTATTTTTTTACTTGACATGTGCCCTTTCCACCATGTAATGTTCCTGCACAGAGATGCCAAATTTGCAATGGTATTCGAAATTTCGTTGTGTATGCTTGACACTTAGTGTTGTCGAATACTTCAATGGCTACTGCTCGGAGATCTTCCGATGCCTTAGAACCTATTTAATTAAAAATAATAATAATATGTGCGATTAGCATATTTCTTATCTTACTTAACATCTTACAAAATTATATCAAAGCAAATACAGCAAAACCTGAAAGTTAACTACCCTTGTAATCTGACCTCTAGTCTAAGTTGACCTCTACTCTGTAAAAACAGTGGTGTAATATCTTTTCAAATTTGATGTTAAACAACTCAAAAATTGCAAAAAGGATCACTTTATTTCAAGTTAACACCATATAAGCTTTTCATATACAAAAGGTTGTAGTTAAATCTAAACAACTAAAGTGGAAAAACATTACGCAAAGATTACACGCATTCTAACAACTATTGAGTTATTTTCGCTTCTGAAAACAGCAAACGTTGGCACACTTTAGATATCACCAGTAGTTAGTTTACATTGAGTTAGAGTTGTTGTATGTTTGTTGTTTACTTCAACGCCTCTATAAAGTAACTACTAAAACAAAAGTTTGTCGTTAAAATAAATCTGTGTATTTTTAGTTGCGTAATAAGGATAATTATATTTTAATTTTTAATTACCTGTAGCTGTATTAAATATTTCATAATATTTCATTTCTAACCACTTCGGTTTTATTAAGCCTAATTCGAATTCATATTAATATTCTCTACGTGCTGTGTATATGTTTCTTGCTTTATGTTATATCTTAAAAATAACTTAACAGACTCTATGTATATATCTTTCTGTAATTGTGAATTTTAATGCTACAGAGTAACAAACGAGCGCAAAAGAACATAGGTTTCATTACATCAGGAACTATTCTTGGGTTCTTGTTGTAGTGAAAAAACTAGATCTAAGAGTTATGTGTGGCGTTTTACTTCACCAGTTTGGTGTAAAGTAGTTGCCACCATATTTTCTTGTTAAGATACGTGAAACTTTTTTACGTAGTATTACCTAGAAATGAATTTATCCTATATTAAAAAAAAGAGATCAAAACTTCCGTAACTTGACCACCTGTATATCTTGTATGTTGACTGCTGAAATAAGTCTAATTTGTGTAAAAATTTTATAGAACGATATTCTTATCCCTTAAGTTAATTGACAAAAGAACTTTTTATGAATATTTCAATGCTATTCTGTTTTATCCCTTTATATCACCTTGTTGCATATCTGCAACATACACAAAAAGCCTATGTCTTAGCCCAAACAAATTTTGAAGGACGATTTCGGATATTGTCGGCCAAAACCAGTGCGCCGAGATGAAATTGGGCACTAGCCTAATTGGGCTAACAAAAGAATCAGATGCAAATACCCAAAATGCAAAGGATTTACACAAACTGTTTGTGAGAAATGTGGTGTAGGACTTTGTTACAACAAAAGTAACAATTGTTTTAAAAATTTTCAGATGAATTAAAATTTTTGAATCTTTTAATTTTAGTGCCATTTTTCACAATGTTGCAGGAATGCAACAAACAGGTTTTCGTCATTTTGCATAAGGTTGCAGAAATGCAACAATCAATTTTTTTCCGAATTTTTTTTTATTTTATGTTGTAAATTTCTTTAGTATTTTTTACATGCTTAGAATGATGTTTTTTAATGTATGAGTAATTTTTATTAAAATCAGAGATGTTGAGATATAAAGGGTTGTACGAGAATTTCACTGAATTATTAAAATGGTGTTAAAAGCTGACCAAATCCATTTTTATCAGTAATGGAAAAAATATTAAAGATATTTAGATTAAGATATATGACCCATCTCATGAGTTATGAAAATATATAAAATGGTTAACAATGAAAATGGAACACGTGTCTCTGCACTAAATAGTATTTTTATTTTTTTAAGTATTATTGATTTTATTCAGATGCTTTAGGAACCATCTCATAAAAAACTATCTAATCATAATATTTCCTTATTTATTTTAAATAATTATATCAAAATGGTCTCAAATCTATTGTATTATTAATATATTTATAAATATTCATTATAATTTTGCAAGTAATATGAATATTGTAAGCTTTCTTCAGTACTTACAAAACTGTCTAAAACTATGTATTACATTTCTTAAAAAAAAACTAAGTAGAACATATTATTTTTTATTCATCTAAGATTTTACATATTCATATAAAATAGTTGCAAAAACATTATAATTATTTTTGTTCACATCGAATTAAAATCCTTGCTGTGAGTTTTGGGGAAAATATTAAAGATATACAGATAAAGATATACAGATCCGAAACGGAAAAAAATGGTTTAACATATAAAGATACTGTCGAAATCAGACGAATATTTAAAAGCTGCCCAATTGTTAGCCATTCAATGGTTTAAAATATATCTTCACATAATTTAACAGCCATAATGATTTATTAGGTTAGTACGTATGAAATATTGGATTTTTAAGTGAATGCATAAACTAATTTTTTTTTCAAAAGCTGTTTAGTGAATTAAAATATGTTCCAATTGTTTCAATACACTTTTCCCTAATTGCGTAGATGCATGTCGTTTGATATGGTACTGATCTTCTGAACTCTGATATGAAATATTTCAGACTGTCTTCATTTCCATACTGTTTAGCTTGAAAAACTGTTCTAACTCTTTAAAAAGTAAACCCTGTTTGGCAAAAGATCCAACTAATAAGCTTATTCTAAGAACACAATCGGAAAAACTATTGGGAGAACCATGTGAAAAATATTATATATGACAGTCTGAAAAATTCCATATAATAGTAGACTAAAGATTAGAATTCCTTGAAGACAGGCACCTACAGTCCGGGTTCATATTATTAAGAGCACTCTAAGGTTCTATGTAAAATTATAATTATCAAGTGATACTATACAGCTCTATTGTTTTTACTCGGATGCATTTGTTTAAGCTCCTGTATCAATGGGTTAACATTGCAATGCAATAAGTTAAAAATAAATACAAATCGGAAGTATATAAGTCTATAAAAAATCCCCTGAATAAAAACCCATTACATGTGGGTTTAGCTATAATAGTATTGCATATAAACTCGTACAAATCATGTAATTATTAAAAAACTACAGTTCGTCAAATAATTTGACCTAATTATTATAATATACCAATATAGTGTTTGATATAATAAATATTCTATATTTATATAATATATCGTCTAATTTGACCAACTGATACACTAGCGTAAACAAGTGCAAACCGGTTTCAGTCACATAAAAACATTAAAGCTGTAGAGTATCAACTGATAGTTAAGATTTTACTTAGAATCTTATAGTGGGTCTGATAATTAGGCCAGGGACTGTAAGTATTAAAATCTCGTTAAGAAAAGTGTATTGAAGCAAATGGAGCAGCTTTTAATCAAATTTAGAGTTTTTGAAAAAAAGATATATAGTTTTATATATTCGCTTAAAAATCCGATATTTCATTACTACCAACCTAATAGTTGGCCAAAATCGATTTAAAGAGATTTTCACTGATCAGAAGAATTTCGAAAGCACTCTCTATGTTATAAGCAGGGTAAGGATGCTTATAACAAATACGTTTTGTTTTTCCTTTTAAGGCATTATTCATGGTTAAAGAGTTAGAATACAGGTTATTCATCACTGAGAACTCTTAATGTCCTCGTCAAACATGAAGTCAAAAAAAGTAACCATATTAGGAGTCACAAATTTATATTTATGCAAGAGTTAAGAAAGCTCTACATTGAAATCTGTCAAATCACTAGTGAGGAAGATAGAATGAGAAACAGAAAAATCAGTTTGATTGTCTTAAGAATCTTAGAGTATTTCTAATCATCACTTTTCAACTATTTTTTATTCCAGTAATCAAACTGGTTTTTATATTCTGAGTCCTGCTTACTGTTTACCTGTAATACACTGCCAGAATTTGAATCATTTGAATTTCTAAAATTACATTAAAATAACCGACTGCAGTGTGTCCATCAAATTAACCGTAAAATTTAAGGTTAGGAACATTTCTTTATCTTTATGGTTTTAAAACCGTTTACAACTGGTGTGATGAAAAAAAAACGTAAAAATGAAATTTCACTGAACACTGAGTAAAGGCTGTGGTTAAGCTGTGTTCTGTCAAGTGAACCGTAGAGTGAAGCTAAATTAGTTTATATAGTGGTGCCATCTACCGTTTGAGATGTGAAATAACAGACACTTTTGTGTTAAGCAGACCTGTAGTGCTGTCATCTAGATGTGAATGAGTGTTTCGCATTCCAACAATTCAGGACGCTACAAAATCCTACTGTGTTGAAAAAGTGGTGGAAATATCACTGTGTCAAGGATGGAATTCGAACTCCCGTTCAGCCGGTCATGAGATTAGCAGATTAGCCCTCTTGGCTAAAACATGTAAACAGCAGAACGAAGAGACATCATAAACTGCTCACCTTAAACTTATTACTATAACATTATTAAGCATCCAATGATGGAAAAAATATATATAAATTCATAATCTTTAACAAGCAGCTTAGCTTTCAGCTTGCTGCGATGCTTGCTTGCTTGCAGCCAATGAGAACGTGCACTCGATTCTCATTGCCTGTGAGCTTAGTCGGAGTAGGTAAAATTCTAGTTGTTCAATCATAATAGGTGAAAACAGTCAATAAACAATTTTTCTCACGGTTTGAATACTATCTTTTTTAAGGTTATTTGAATGTTTTCAAGAAATACGGAAGACTAACAATTAAATATTTTGTTATATAATCACTTTTTCAGAGAAATTTTTAACAGTGTAGTGATTTGCTAGATTTCGATAGTTTTTTTTCCCCTTTGTATAATATTAATTTGTGACCTATAAAGTATAGGCATTGTTTACTTTATTTTTGACAAGGGTTTTGAAAATGGATATATTAAGAGTGGAAATTACGGAACACAGTGTATTGGTGCCACTCCATGAACACCGTGTACGGAACGCCATCAATTACAAATGAATGCCTAAATAAAACTCATGATAAATTAAAAATTAAAACGCAAAGAAATTTTTTGTTTAAATGACTTACTCATTTGAACTTTGCCCCATCCTGATGCAGTGCCTACAACAAAATAATGTTTTTTACATTTGTATGCACAAAAATTATTATACTGGCAACAAGAACAAAAGTTTTAACTTACAGAACATTCCTTGAAACGTATCAGTCTCTTTGGGCAAACAAATTGGTTTAATGTTTTCATTATTCGTAACTGATTCAGATAATTTCATGAGGGCAATATCTGAATCATAGCCATGATACCATGGATAATGGTAAATTTGAGAAATACCTATTTTCTTTTCTGTGCCATCAGGATCTTTTAAATTCAGTTCACCCAATCGAGCTTGCCAATATGATGGATGGGGTAACACAAAAGACGGGCTGAAATTTTTAATCATTACTTTCAATATTTAGACAACTGAAGAATTTAGAGCAATTTAATGATAAGCCACATTTTCAAACTCTTCAAGGATACGTTATTTAAAAGCTTTAATAAAAAGAAATGTACTTGTAAAATATCTATCTGGAAACAATGTAAAAAAATATTTTGATGCAAAAATGTCATTTTTAGAAGAAGTGTAGCTTATCACTATTTTTTCCCAAACCCTTCAATAGAGTAGCAAATAAGAAAAAATAAATTATTTTAATACAAATAAATAATTATAAATATTCACATGTATATTCATAATATATAATATTCATTTATAATATGTAATATTCATTTTAATGTATAATATTCATTCTAAAAATATTCATTTATAGTCTTTCATAAGCTTTGAGTGAACCATTTCACACTATAGACAATTTGAACTTTAATAGAAGCTTTAAAGAACCCCCCAAAATCCACTTTTTTACTCAACAAATTTTCTATCATCAATTTCAAAAGACAGCACAAAAAGAAGACGAAGCTTGAATATTAATAATTTTTATCATTCAAAGTTGAATGTTTATACAATTAATAATAAAATAATATCTAATGTTTAAATCATAAACTTTAAATTTGAAATTTTTTGTATTGTGTCTTGAAAACGTCCCAAATGAAAATAATTCTAAATATCATAAATGTTTTTAATGTTTTGCATGAGATATGATGGTTCCCGTTTAACAAGCTTAAGACCCTTGAAATTCCTAACTCTATATTCATAAGAAAGTGCCTATGTATAATGAAATGACTATGAGTGCTCCGGTGGAGCAGTAGATTAAGGCGTAGCTCACACCGCAAGTAGGAGAGCTGAGGGTAGAGAGTTCGATCCTAACAGTCGACTAAACAACCGACGGGTATACGCAGCAGAGTGCACAGCAAATCTGTCGTGGCTGAAAGAGCTCTAGTTGGTTGTGATGTGGGATTAGGAGAGAGAGGTACCAGCTTAGACGCTATCCACGACATCTGACCAGAGTCAAAATTACTCGACATTCCTATAATAGGCCGTTAAAAGATAGAGTCCTAAAAATGGGACTACGTGCTAGGCCATTTCCTCCTACATCAGAAAGCCTCCACACGGTTTTTTATAAGTAGTTTGCTCAAACTGTCTAAAAAGTGAACCAGTTGTGCGCATGAATCCAAATTCTCTTTTAAAAGTAATTGAGAGAAATTATATATATTAGATATTTGAGAATTGAATCTGTAGTGGTTGACAAGTAAATAAGACAAACCAATCAAATTAAAAAATTAAACAAATTTTTCGACATATATTTGCTACCACTATCTTATTTTTACTAGATTTTCTATTAAATGTTTCTTTCGCAAACTTGTTTACCTTCATAGTGGCCTGATAGGACTACCTACAAAAAACCGTGTGGAGGCTTTCAGATATAGGAGCCATTGGCTTGGCCATGGCTGAGTGACGTATGTGTGCTTGTGTATGTGTGTGTGTATAATGACTATGTGAGCCAACTAAACACTAATATCAGAGTTATCGAGAATATCTTATAAATTTCATGAGGCACGATATACAGAGTGTTCAATAAAGAGTAAAGACAGCCCCTAATACGTATTTTTAGAATCCTCATCAAAAATGAGAACAAAAAAATATGCACATTAGGTGTCGGAAATTAATATTTAACCGTAGAAAAAACGAAAACTCTTTCGATATTTGACAAATCATGATACAGGAAGGTGTAAGTATTAAACAACGAGACAGGTTTGATTGTGAGGGGAAACGAGAAGAGTTGAAAGTAGGAAACGAAAGAGTTGAAGTTATTCGAAACATCTTCAAGTTTAAACCTCCAATTAATTCCAATACTATCTATTACAACTGCCTTTTACATCTGAAATTGGTCAAATGTCAATCTTTTTTTTTTCGTTGGTCAAATATTGGTTAGCATCCGCAAATGTGCATTTTTTTTTCAATTCTGATAAGGATTCTAAATTTGCGTAATAAGGGTGGTCTTTATGGAAATATATAAAGCCAATAATTTAATATTTAAAAAATTCACCGTGTACACATTAGTGTTGCTTATATAATCTGCATAACATGAGAAGTCTTCAGTGTATTTTTACCAACTGAGAATTTTAGGAACACGGAAGGAAAAAATACCTTATTTATCAGAAAAATAACAACGTGACAGTAAAACTGTGATAACTGCATTTAATATTGGGGTAATAATAAAATGTATTTTTGTGCTTTTCGGGGCACCATATTTTGAAAATACCTCCTAAATCCACATACGTTATACACGCGCTATTTTCAACATTTAAGAGCCCACTATTATAATCCTTTTTCGAAGCCGTGGTTTGTCAGAGGATAAAGCGTTCGCCTTCCAATGTACTGAACGGAGTTCGAATCCCAGCTATGGTTGATCGATACGAATTCCGCACCCGGCTCACACCGACCACAGTGCTGACGTAAAATATCCTCAGTGGTAGACGGATTATGGGTTAGAGTCCCGTTGCCGTCAGGCTAAGCATGGGAGGTTTTCGTGGTTTTCCTCACCATATAACGCAAATGAAGATTTGTTAAATGAAAAAGTCCTCCACGAGGGCAGGTTTCTCCCAATACTTTTGTCTTCTGGATTGGGTTATTACAAGGCTACGGATTTGAACATTGGTAGTCGTAGACCAAAAATTGGGTCTGCTATTTAGCGATGGTTTTTAAATAAAATAGTCCTTTTCGAGTCGTTCTAGGGATCGAGCATTTGCTTCCCAAAGAGGTGAACCAGGTTCGAATCCCAATGCAGACTACTCGATACGAATTTCGCATCCGCCTTGCACCAACAACAGAGCTGACGTAAAAAATCCTAAGTGGAAGACGGATCGTGAGTTAAAGTCCCCGTGCCGTCAGGCTAACCGGTGGAGATTTTTGTGATTTTCCTCTCCATGTAACGAGTTTCGAGTGTAACACGTTTCAATTAAAAAGAGATAATTATAAGTCGGAAAATCTAACTAGCTCCTTAACTAATACCTCCTTAAAAATACCTAGCTCCTTAAAAATACCCTGCCATATATAAAAATACAATTTGAAAAATGCTATCGTTTTTAAAGTTTATAAACATTTAGAAAAATTAATTATGCATCATTATTTTTTATTAATCTTTTTTATTATTATTATTATTATTCTTTTATTATTAATTATTTTTTGATAGTATATTAGTTATTATTTTAAAAAATAATAACTCATATACTATTAGCACACATAATAATATGATGTTAGAAACTGCACTGTTAGAAATTTCTCAGAAAAAATGCTTAAATAACAATTTATTTAATTGTTATTTTACCATATTCAAACAAAACAGTTAAAAAAACATAAATCAGATGGTATTCAAACTATTAATTGAGAGAAACCCCGTTTATTAACAGCCTTCACCTAAGACAGTTAATCAACCAAAATTTTATCGCACCAACCCCTTTTTATAGAAGCCGCTTAGTTCCATGTGCATATTGTATCCGAGAGGGGTAATCTGGTTCTCATGACCGAGAAAGAGGGGGGTTCGAGTCCTAGTGATGGCACCATTATGTTTCCTCAATTCCCTTTAACTCATGACGAGTTTTTTCAGTGTCCTACTCTTTTCAATTAGTGACCCTGGACACATAGAATACGATACTTTCTTTTGCGCATCTTAAAACTGCTTTGCTTAAAGGGCTTATTTTTCATTTCTTGCGATATATGAAACCACCTAATAAACTATTTAAACCTCATTGCATGGTTCATTTGATAGAACACAATTCAGCTCCAACCTAACTCAATGCCAGTACTAATTGTCTAAAGAAAGGCCTAGCTCCAATGTGCAATTAAATTTCGTTTTTACGGTTTAGAAACAATGCTAGTTGTAAATGGTTTCAAAAAACCGTATAATTTTGTATTCGTGATTTTTTAACCGTACTAGTTGTAAACGGTTTCAAAACAGTGAAGGTAAAAAAAGTTCTTTTCCGTAAACTACTATTAATAGGATGGACAGATTACAAACTTTATCGTAATTTAACAGTGAAAATTCTAACAGTGTATTTTCAAACCTCATTTGTTTAATGAAAGTGTTTTTTACATAAATCAGTCAATATTCAATCAAAAAAAACAATATTTCAACAAAAAAAGTCATATTTTGTTGGGAAAAACATAATTTTCGAAACAAACTATGCTATATTAAGTATCATACATTTAGTATAATTGGTAGGACTGAACTCACTTTACAACACAATGTGCAGCTGTGAGAATCCAATCTTTGTCAATTAGCACACCGCCACAGAAATGGGGTATTTTGCCTTTTTGGGGATGGTTCAACTCTAAAGAAACCTAAAAACAAAAATTATAATTAGTTTCATTTATATCTATAATTATTTTTCGCAAAATAATTCCGTTTTATTTATAATCAAAAATTGCGTAATAAATTTGCGCAAAAAAGCAATTAGTAAAGTAAAGTAGCCTTCAAGTTAAACTTATTTCTGCTTTAATGCCATAGGAATAAATATTTTAGTTTTGAAAATATTCATTGATGAGCTTTCAATTGAAGTTAAAGTTATTTTTTAAAATGTTAAATAAACATTGAATGAAACAATTAAGGGAGAAATTATTTGCATATTTATATATTTCTAAAAAAAATCTTCTTTAACTATTATGAATGTGTATGTAAATGATCATATATATATATTTATATATATATATATATATATAACTTTGAGAGAAAAACC